GAGGTTGATATTCCCAATTAGCACCAGAAGTGTAAAGCAAAGGTTCTGGTTTCACATATGGCAACCCTAGCATATAATACTGTAGTACGTCCGATCAGCCTCAATATAAGAATAGCGAATTTCTGTTAAATACATACCTTCAGGAAAAGCATCAATGATATTTATTTTCCCAGAAGTGGTTCGTACTAATGAAAAGAAGCAGGAAAAAAAGCACAAGTTAGTCAACGTCACAAACAGTATACCAAAATACAATGACAGTGACCGAATTTAATGTGTGGCGTGAGCAGTAAGCAAAAAAGCTAGGATAATCAATTACCAGCAGGAACCTCAACAATTACATGAATATGCTTTTTCAGTGGTGTATCGGTCCAGTGGTCTCCGATATCATCTGTCGCCAGTAACAGATTGTTGTCTTGTAAATCTTGGCTCTGAATAAGGTCGTCTCGATCAACTGGGATGTTTGCGGGCCATAGTTTGAGTTTGTCGGGGTCAACGTAGGCAAAGTCGACTGACTTTTTCGCCTTGATGGCGTCTTTGAGATCATCAACTATCCCTTCCCTACTGATATTAACGGAAAAGGCGTGATGGGCGGCAGGAGTCTTTCCTTTTTCTAAGCAAAAGAGTTTTATCGACATATTTGGGTTTTTACTTGTACAACTGCGGACAAGAAGTACGAAAAAGAGAGATTCGGCTGCACAAACATGATTAGTCCCTGATTGATGACGCATGATTGATCACAAAAAATTATAAAGAATTTCAAACTACAGAAAATGCCTAAATACAAGATAAAGCATAAAGCTTGGACCTGGCACGACTGCATGGGAGAAAAAACTGGTGCACCAGTGAAGTCAGCTCCAAAGCTTTGGCCGAAGGCGATGACTACCCTATTTTCTCGTCCTGCTAGGTCCAGCACTATCACTACTTTCCTCCTCTTCTACCTCTTTATCTAATTCTCGTTCATTATCAATTAATAATCTAATAAATTCTATGGTTTAATCTGCAGAATTATGGGTTAAATGTTTGTGAATTTCCGGATAGTCACATCAAGATGCTCGGACCACCGAGAGCCGGAATAACTGTCGCAACTGTCAACACCATTTTGATTTCACGAACTTTGTAGCCCATTAGGCTTATATTGTGGTCGAGATCATTAATTTTTTGTAGCAATTCGGTATTGGCGCTTGAGTTTCGCCTTGATCTTTTGATAGCAGACAATTTTGCAGTTATACGGTTTTCCACTCTTTGAGTATTTAGGTATAATACTAACAATTAGACTAGCATGAACACGACGAGCACGAAAAATCCAAATTGATTGAGAATATTTTTTGCGTATTATGTTTGTGTAATTTTACGGTTATCTTGCAGAACAAGGATAAGTGATTGTTGTAAATTGTTCTAAGGACGAACCTGCAGATATCGTTTACGAAATTGACGCGTTTTATAGAGTTCATGTTGTTGGCACTTGAGAGTGGAATCAATAAAAGTGAGGACGAATTGATAGCTAGTGCATTTCTTTGTATATCCCTAGAAAGTCAATTAGTCGCTTCATTATAATTTTGTACGTAAAACAATATTTATGTTAGACAATATATATTACAGTTAATGAACTATCTATCTCGCTAATACAGTACATATACACAGGCTCCCAAGAACGCAACACATGATCGTCGATCTTTGATTGTTAAAATTTTAATCAGATCATGGCGAAATTTAATAGTTTATACAGTACAGTGTATTAGTAGAATAGTGATCAAAATAATAATAATAATTTTTGTAATTAAATTAATAAAAATTTTTGATGCTTAACTTTTGACATTTTTATTTAAAAATAAAAAATTACAGAATTGACTCAAATTTGTATAAACCAAATATCCTCAAGACATCTATAGAAAAGAACGCAAAGGTTATTATATTGTTAGAAGAAGGTTATAGTTTACATCAGGTTGGTGCCAAAATTGGCAACAATGTTCATTATTGTACCATATTTAAACTTAAAAAAAATCATAAAATTTAAAAATTTAAAATAAACCTATTTTTGATCATTTACCAAGACTTACTTTATATAAAAAAAATTATCTACAAGTGTCAACACAATTTAAAGAATTCTAAAAAAAAATAATTTAAAGCATATACTGTATATAGCAAAAAAAATTCTTTCTAAATAAGAAACATAAAAAATCTGGTCTGATCTAATGAAACTAAATTTTAACTTTTTGAAGTTAAAAAATATAAAATATTGCTGAAAAAAACTTATAGAACTCTTAAAAAATTAACATATAATTCCTATAGTCTAAAGCCTCTAATGATACTATTTTAATATTAGTTTAATATCAATTTGATACTTAAATTTACTATAAATTTATATAAGTGGATTACAATTTATATATTGATATTATTTTTATATTATTTAGATATCAGTTCAGTACTTTTTAAAGCCTTACCATAGCTAAAATTTGAAAAATACATTAATATATAAAAAAACTTAATAATAAGCTTTATAAACAATTTTTTAAAAGAATAATTAATATATTTATTATAATATTATAATTTAGTTCTCAAAGATATTATATTTTAATATAATAATAATTCTAAATATAAGGCAAAAATAGTTAAATATAGTTAAAAAAATAATAAAATAGAAACTATTTTTTAGTTGTTACAATCTTTATATTTTGATCTAATAAAAAATATTTGATATACTGTAATATATATTTTAGTTAATTTTGAGTTATTTTATTTAATTAAAATTTAATGACATAATTAATTTAATAATTAATTTTAAAAAAAAAATTAAAAAAATCCGAATCCGTACCAAAAACGACTTGAATTTCGAAAAAAAAGGACCAAAAGCCAAAAAAAAAAAAAACTGAAAAACAAAAAAAAAAAAAACCCGGAAACAAAACATTAAAAAAAAAACCCAGACCCGAAGAAAAACGATTTGAATATCAAAAAAAAGATGAAAAATAAAAAAACAATCCGAATTTCAAAAAAAAAAACTCAATGAATCCCAAAATAAACAAAAAAACCCCCATCCCCCCTAAAAAAATAAAAAAAAAAAAAATACCAAAACTGAAAAAAAAAAACTGAAACTGAAAAAAAAAACAAAAACAAAAAAACAAAAATAAAAA